ATGCCGACATCAGGCTTCGAGCTAGATCTCTACCTTGAATGTCATCCAGGTTCACTTGAAACTCAGCACTTGGCTAGGAAATATTAACCTTGAGTTATATTCTTATTTTCCAGAGGCTCTTTCTAACTATGATAATGACGTTGTTGAAGTTCAACAACTAAACCCAAGAGTCCACACTCATGAAACCATTCAGGAGATGCCAAATCCAAATACCGTTGAACCAGAGGAAACTGTATAGAAAATTCCAGCACAAGAGATTCCAGTACTTGCTCCTCGCAACCCCCGAAGGGGCCATCATGAAGCCTTTCATGAGAGTAAGGACTTTGATTTGGAACATTCTTTTATTCATTCTTGACTTCACTTTTTTTTTATAGATGTTGCAGAGAGTAGCCATCAGTCTTCTCGGCAAACTAAGACATTCTTCCCATCCCTCCCTACGGCTACAGACAACAACCTAGAAGAGCTCTCCTCTGCAACTATGCATAAACAGGTTAGTAAGCATGAATTTTATCTCCAACTTTTAGTTCTAATAATTGATCTTTAGGTTTGCCCTCTATCCCCAACAGTTAGTGTTGGGGAAGTTGTTGTTCTCATTGCGGATTACACGCAGCTTTTAGATGCTACTAGTCGGGAGCTCTACATGCTTGATCGGTGGATCCATGGTCTGGGTCAACTCACACCTTATGGGAAGATCGATTTCATCTTTTTCGATCTTTCTGATGGGATGCCACCACCGCAGGGGGATACTCCATCATGGGATGTGTTGCAAGCCTAACACATTTCCCAAGCCTTAAAGGTTGCGAGCAGCTTCATGATATATGAGGGTGTGGTTGTCATGATCCTTCCGCGCTCTCTAATGTGGGAAGGCCTTCTCGCACACTTGGCTAACAATGATGATGGATTTGTCATCTGGCTGCCTTCTTTTGAGTATGGTGGTGGACACAAAAGGCACTAGTGGGTAGAAGTGAAAGGTGTGTGACTTCTTTATTTATAAATTAACTCTATTCTATTTTTGTTTTCCAGATTTAATCTTGGAACTACCATGCTCTATGCCACATTGGGAACCGGCGTAATGCAACACGAGCTGATGAGTGTGCTGCTCTTGCTTTACCAAGATATGACAGCTCTACAGATATCATCCCAAATGTGAATGACTCAAACGTTCTTCACCCAGCATTCCCTGGTTATCGACATCGTTCGGTCATGGCTATGCAGATCTTGTTGGAGTTATTCTATTTGCCAAAGGGGATTGTGCTTGATGCTATAGTAGGATTTAGATCAATGGTGCAGGCAACAAAAGAGACAGGTTGAGCTGTTTTTGCACTTGAGAAGGAGGGTGCCTTTGAGGACATTCTTAGGAGATTTTGCAACAGGTGATGTTAGTGCTTGAAATAATCTATAATATTTATTCCTATGTCATTAGGTCTACACTTATCACACACAGTGTTTCAATCCACACGCTTGATTTTGATGATATGGATGATCATATGGATCAAAGTCAATTCCACTTACCTATTTATGCTGAATGTATGGCACAACATTACATACAACATGAGCCTATAGTGAAGGAGCATTCCACTATACCCATTTTTACTTTTCTGGATAAGCAAAAGAAGATTGAATATATTCTTATTTTAATATAAATTATATTGTTCAATATATTATTTTCTTTCTTTGTAGACGAAAAGATTAGTTCATGTTGAACCAATAATCTACATGACCTTATGGAATACCTTAAACACCTAGATTTTATGTTAAAAATTCTTGGTTCGAAACGAACTAAGGTAGTGCTATTAAACTTTCGCTAGTTATATTGACTTCCTTTGACTTTTTTTGACTTTCATTGACTTGAGCTCAGCTCAAAAACTACCCAGCCCCTATTAAGAGTTAGTCTTTGGGACAAGCTTGAAACTTACTAAATATAGAATATCCCTAGATCACGAATTTAGACATAGGACAAACACCACTGTGTTCAGAACAATCTTTACATTCTGTACATATGCTAAATGAGCAAATTTAAACACTTTTTATAAATAGCATTTGGGACCAAAATGAGATTAACACAAAGGGCATGATAGCGAGAGTGTTTAGCAAACACAGTAATGTATCATCCAGCAATATTGAGAGACTAGTCTTAATATGCAAGGGTTTTTGTCAAGCCAGTGCAAAGACAAAGCAAAAGAGAATTAAGAGCTAGGCCAAGTATGCTCAACTAAAAACACATAGGAGTTTCTACTTTATGTCCATTTGGCTAAATACAGATGCTAAGCCTAATAAATTAACACTTGAACAAAAGGGGCTGATAAAAGGAACCAGCAATACCGACCTCCTGCTGTCATGGCAGTAAGGAAAGAATATTTGAAAGCACTAACTTTCGATACCCGAAGTCACATTCGCGACAAATGTTGTTTTATTATGACATGGCAATATATTGAATCTTAATTGTCACTTTCGGTAATTACAACTTACTATTAGAGACAAGTGGCTATAAGGTTCAAGAAGTTAAAAACTAGCACATAATTAATACGTAACTTTATTTTATATAGGTAGCTTGCCATATATAATAATGGCAAATGTATGCAGGTATGCAAACAGGCCTTTTATAATATTACCTTTCAATCTCAAAAATATATATGGTTTTGACTCTTTGATTCTTCTATATTATATATACTACACACTTATACTCTTTGCAAAGATACAATATATCAAAAGGAATAGGATATATAAAAAAAGCTTATTTTCTTTATTAGATTACAAAAGTCATGGAAAGCTTCATGAAGTGTATTTGTTAGTGCTTTCCATTTGCTATCTATTCCTTCTTTACTCTTGCTTTAGCTTGTTATTTCAGAAGTAATATGAGCATTTTTAACAATAATGACAGTGGTCTCCACATTCCCAAATAAATAATAAGGACCAGAAGTGTAATATCAAGATTATGGTAGTGAAACAAAATTAATGCTCACAAGTTTTTTATCTTTCTTGCTTCCCATCTATATAAAACCCTAAAGAATGAATAATTGAATTAATGTTTCGAGTTATTTATATATTTTTGGTTAATTGTTGAAATGTCAAAATGCCAAAGTGTATAATAAAAATTTGAAGTTCAAGCGAACTTCAATATTCCCATTTTTAATTGGGCCCAAAAAAACCCAAAAAATTCTTTAGGTTCCGATGAACTTTCTGGGAATGGGCATCGATCGCCTGCGAGGAATTGGTCGTGGAAGTGATGAGATCCACACACTCGGATTCTAATTCTAGAAACTACTCAATAAGTATTTTATTATATTAGAAATTAGAAGTTTTCTCTATAAATAGATTCAAAAAATAGAAATGTCTTTGAACCATTGATAATTAAATTTATGAATTTCAAGTTTACCAAAGAACAACATTTTTCTGACATGATATTTCCTTATAAAACTTATGGTTGACTATGTTAACTAGTAATGACTTGAGCTGAAATGAGCTCAACTCAAGTTTAGACCATCCCTAATTGATAGAATACCCATATCCTCACATTAGACCACCGATATACTAAAATAGTGCTAAACTCCATTTAACTCTATTTTATATATTAGTCTTGGCATTAGAATGTTAAATGCTCAGGATTATTTTTATGTCACTCCGTGCTTATGTCCCTTTACTCCATAGGCTTTACACTTGGGAGTTCTTCTATATTTCAATTCCTTTACTTCTTAGTTGTATGCTTGGTAGTTTGGCTCCATCCATTCCTTTTGACTCAGAAAATCAAGAGTGGGAGTGGAACTCTCAAAGATATGCTTAAAGAACTAATACAAAACAATTGATAAGTGAGTCTTTGGAAAGGGACAAAAAAAGAATAAACACATGGCGACACGTGAAAATATCAAGACAAAGTTGGAGACTAAATTAGAGATTGAGTTTGAAATCAAGTTTAGCACCAATTCCCAAATCAAGTTCAAGACTAAATCTAAGTCCAAATCCCAATACCAATCCGAGGTGAAAGTCTAAAGTAATCATCTCCTAGGGGTTTGGTAAGTCCTTCCAAAATAGTAGAGGGAAAACTCTAGTGGAACTAATATGGCCAAGGAAGGCTAGTGTGATCGAAGAAGAAAATAAAAAAAAATCATGATAAAAAAAATTCAAAATAAAAACAAATAAACATAATTTTTTATCTAAAACTACCATAATGAAAATTATTAAATTTCTTACCACCAGAAAATTACTATATTAAAAATCATAAAGGACACTATACTGTAAACTAATGATCATATTATATAGTGAAACAATACACAAAACTTCACAGAATATTTAAAAAACTATTACATAACTATTTAAAACCTATACAATAGAACTATAAAAATAACTAGATTGTTAGATAGAACTTGATTAATTGTTAGACAAGTGCTTATTTTAAGGGGATAAGCACTTATTAGAAGGGATGTGAAGAGAAGATAAAGTTTATGACTAAGGTGATAGAACTTTCTTAGTACTTAGACAAAGGTGACAATATAAGGATTATTCAGATTCTACCAAAACATACAAGTTTACTTTCGCAACCTTTATTTGTATTACAAGAATCTCCATATGTTTTCATAATGCACATTTTACTACACTATATTAAAGTTGATACAAAAGAAAAACTAAAATGGTAGATGAAAAACTTTTTATAGCTGTACAATTGAATAGAAGAAGAAAAATAATTTGCTGTGGCTTGTGCTACAATAAGAACACCTGTTTATATTTTAAATAATATTTAATATTTAATATACAATTTAATCTAGCAAGATAACACAACAAAAGAGGTTCTAGCTTATTTTATTTGACAACAATTTATATTGTTTCTGTCTTTAATCACACTACTTAACATAAAACAATTACCGAATTTTGTCATTAGGACCTCCCTCTTTATGAAAGAAAACAGATAGTAAGGTTCTAGATAAAGTCTTATACTACTTTTTGCACTCTGATTAATCTCATTTTATATCAACTGTTAAATAAAGCTAAAGCAAGCTACCAAAATATTAATAAAAATTAATGATTTAAACCATGATATTAGTTACAAATTTACATTATATAACAAGAATAAAAGTACATAGAAAACTTTGGGAAAGAGGATTCACACGTCAAAACTGTTGTGGCCTGACCGAGATCCAAAGGTTGCATGCCTTTGCTCCCGAAAATGCCTCAGCAAAGCCATTGCCTGCATCCACCTAAATCAGTTCCTCTCCAAAAAAAACAAGAAAGAAAGAAAAGGAAGAGAAATACGTATATCACGAACCTTTTCTTTGGCTCGGGGCGTTCCAGTTTGTGAGAGGGCGTGTAGCGGTGGTATAGCCCCTTCCTGGAGGACCATGGACCGGTGACGCGTGCTGTTGGTGCACAAATGGAGAAGTGCTGCCGCAGCATTCTCCTTACCACGGGCAGTACCCGCCTCGACCACCTCCACCAGCGCTGGAATACCGCCATCATCTCCAATCGCAACACGCCCCTCCGGACATGTCATCAGGTTGGCCAACACCGCGACCGCCTTGTCCACCATGCCGCTGGTCGGATCTCTGACCAGGTTGACCAGGGCCTTGACCGCACCGGCGTTGACTATCCTCGACTTGTTCTCCGACAGGACCGACAAGTTGAAGAGCGCGGTGGCGGCATCCTTTTGACCGCGCAGGCTGCCGTTGACGAGGAGGTCAACCAGCGGCTGGATGGCCCCCGAGGCGCCGATGACCGGCTTGTTCTCGTCTAGAACCGAGAGACTGAAGAGCGCGGCGGCGGAGTTCTCCCTGGCGGTGGAAGTGCCGCTCTTGAGAACCTCCACCAGCGGCGCCACCGCCCCCGCTGCCACGATCTCCGACTTGTTGGCATTGTTGATGGAGAGGTTGAGCAGCGCGGTCACAGCGTTCTCCTGGAGCTTCTTCTCTTTGGATGTGATGAGATCCACCAGCAGCGGGATGGCCCCGGCCCCGGCGATGAGGACGCGGTTCTCGGTATCGTACTTTGCGAGGAGGCGGAGCTCCTCGGCCGCCGCCAGCTCCAGCTCGGGGTTCCCGGACACGAGATCCTCCACCGAGTTCTCGATCAGGACGCGCAGCGCGCCGTCGGTGATGCTACGAGCTGCCCGGCGAGCCGCAGCCGCGTTGGTGGCCGCCGCGGACGAGAGTGGCGATCTCCGGGAACTCCTCCGCTGCTGCTGCTGTCTCATCCCGTACGATGGGCTCCCGAGATCGCCGGAAGCATCGCTGTTGTACGGAGAGTAGTCGCTCAAGTTGATGGACGTGTCGAGAGCTCTGGGAGTGGCCACCTGCGGATCGTCTGCATGGCCACCCTCGGAGGATCCGCTGGATCCCGACGGCGACGCTCGGAGCTTCCGCAGCCTGTGATCTTCCAAGATCCCGGGAGGAGAAGTGCCAGTAGCAGTCGGAGAAGCGCGGTGATTTCCTCCAGCAGGCACGAACGACCAGTATTCGCATCGGTTCGTTCGATCCGCGTAGTCGTGACAGTGACCAGCGAAAGAGTGCGATCGCACTGTGCAAGCCCGCACCTCCCGGTCGCGCGCTGGAGTTTCCGGTGCGTGATCGCCATCGCTGTTGTGACTGTTCTTGGAGAGTCTCTTGAGCAGCACGGAGGAGGAGGAGAGCTTGGCGGGAGCTGGGACCGGCGCGCTGTTGGCCTCGCACCAGTTCGTGATGAGAGCCTTGACGGTGTAGTTCGGGATGAGATTGGTGTGCGAGAGGATCTGCCGCGTCTTTGGACACGTCGTGTTGCCTTGATCGATCCACTGCTGGATATAAGCTCGCTCGTAAGTCTGGCCCGAGGCGATGATCACCGGATCGCCCATGAGTTCCAGCGACAAGGGGCAGCGAAAGTCTGTGGGAGCAGCCAGGAGTCCGGAAGCTCGGGCCTCGGATCCCTCCGGCGAGCACTTGACCATTTGCATGAGAAGAGAGATGATCCTCTCGAAGAACTCCTCCTCGGACTTGCGCTTGGCGAGGCGGGCTTTCTTCTTGACGGCCTCGAGCGCGTCCAGCTCCCGCGAGAGCGCCTCGTCGGACGCGATGTCGAGCTTGTCGAAGAGCTTGGCCAGCTTGTCGGGGCGGACTTGGTGCTCGTCTCGCATCTCCGCGAGTAGCAGCTCGATCTGGGTCATGAGCATTTGATCCGAGATGTCGGGGTGGAACTTTGTTCTTCGCAGCTGCTCCAGCGCCAGCATTGCCTGATCAAAAGAGAAAAACCATCAGTCATCCTCGAAACGAGCTCGCCACCTTGCGAATACACGAAGAAAAAAGAAGGATTTTGCGAGGAGCTCCTCTCCTCGAGCGGAGTAAAATAAGAGGCAAAGCTCTTTGGAAGACTCTCACCTTTGTTCCACTATAGGCCTAGAACTAGAAACCTTTGTTTTCTCTCCAAGAAAGAAGAACTAAAGTGAGGAGCTTGCCTGTGCTTGGGCGTGGTCCGAGAATCCATCCATGGACATGCTACGCAAAGCCTCGTCCAGCATTGTGGCAATCTCGTGGAACCAATTCGCAATCTCCTCGCAACACACCACCTGGAGAGAACGAAGAACCCTAAAAAACTTGAGAACCAAGAAATCTAGAGCAGTACCTGGAACACTCGGCTGTTCCTAGCAGCGGCGCCGCCATCCAGCAGCAGCTCCTTGGCCTTGATCAGCGCGAGCTCCAGCAGCAGCAGCGGCGACGAATCCAGCGCCTTCCACTCCTCCACAATGGGAATCAGCAACCCCAGGCACTGTGCCAGGGATTGCCAGTCGCCGCGCGGCCGCGATTTCTTTCCCCCATCACCGCCGCCGACCAGGATGAGCATCTGGATCAGCTGCGACACATTGGCGAGCACCGCACTGGGATCCATCCTCTGTTGCCGCACGGACGCAAAGGGGAAAGTCAATCCATCAGTCCATAGCTCGCGAATAGATCCAAGGCCACTTACCCAGCTCCAGCTCCAGCTCTAGCGAGAGAGATCGAGAGGAAGAGAAGAGAAATGGGAGAGGGCTGCCACAAATTCCGCAAGAATCCGTGGGGAAGATTACATTTTGATGATAGCAGCGCCACCAACACGCAATCTCCTCCGCCACTGCTGCCGATCGCTCGAACCGATCGATCAAACGCAAAGGAGGAGGAGATAGCGAAAATGCGAAGCCTAGGATCAGATGGAAGGGATTCGCGGGGCTTTTTAGAAGATGGGATGAGAGCTCACTGTCGCTGGGCTGGCGGCTAGCTATCCTAGAGAAGAAGAGCTGGATTCGCGAGAGACAAAGGACGCGCCGGCTCGCGCTCGAGGGGAAAGAAAGAGAGAGAAGGGAGGAGAGAGAAGAGACAGGAGAGAGAGAGAGACGAGACCACTCCAACGGGAGAGCTCTTCTAGCGCGTGGTGGGATTCCTCCTCGATTTGTGGTCCAAAGGTCGATCCAGGAGTGGAGAGGAGAGAGAGAGCGAGGAGAGGACCCAGGAAAAACCCAATCCAATCCCACAAACCCGGGAGGCAATGGGAATTAGCAACGCGCCATCGCTACACGCAAAATTGGCGATTGATCAAGAGAGAGAAGAGAGCTTTGTAAAGCAAAATCGGAGGAAATGGATGGATCTGTTGCGAGAATCGGGCCACAAGTCTCAGTCACCGACCCACACAGCAGCAAAGCAGCAAAAAAAAGGGGAAAAAAACCACTCTTTTTTATCCTCGCTTTCTTCCATCGCCCGTCAGCGCTGCACCCACATTCTATCTGTCGGAGACGAAGACGAAGACGGAATATTCTACGCCGGCGGGCATATTCTACCTGGGGCACACGTGGCAGGGGCGGAGTTTAAATGCGCCACATCCTGTCAGGCTATATTTGGCCACCGGCAACAGATGGTATATTCCTCGGACAGTTATAGGGGGCATATTCGCGACCGATGCATTTTTAGGGCTTTTGTTTCCTTGCAGCAACACGTTAACGTTTTAAATAGGCCATGCCTCCGTTTGAATGCACATGGAAGAAAAAACTTTGCAGTACGAATTGGGAGAAAATTAGGGTTTGTGAATTTCCGCCGTACTCGCATCCACCGACACACACTACACTGCACACGTACGCCCCAAGAACATGGCAACATGTCACGCCCTAATTTTCTCGCCCCGCCACCTTTCTTTTGGAATCTTATTTTGTGATGTGTTGTGGGTCATTGTTCTCTTTCTCGAAAATTAGTTTTCTTTTTCCACTTGCATTGCTTTGGGTCCACAAACTTAAGCGTGATAGATCTCTAGCGAATGATTTGTTGTTTTGTTTTTTTTTTTTTTTTGGGTGACGTCCTCAACTTGATCGATAAAGCTTTCCGGATGCGATCTTCCTGGAGCAAGAATAATGGCTGCTTGCAAGCACAATCTCTCATGTGTTGTTGAGGATGGAAATAATGGAGCTGCAGCTTGGCAAAGTTGATCCTTTTACAAAACTCCATCGGTAAGATCAATCAGGCATGGCAAAGTTTTATTCCCTGGGCTGGGCGCGCAGGACGAGTTTGACCACAACACAACTTACAATGCAACTTACAATGCTTCCTCGAGATGAGATCACTCAATCAATCAAATCCTTTAACATTGAATGCCAAAGATTTGCCTCAGAATTGGGTATACCGCTTTCCATTTTTTGTTACAAACTCCCTCCGGGAGAAAATTTCTTGGACCACCAGTGTTCCCCCAACGACTGTTTCACGCAGCCGGAGCCCCAGTGTCCTGAACAAGATGGAACACTCAGTGACCGCACTGTAACATCGATGGGGATCGCAATCTTTTACTTTTGTTAGAGAAAAACGCGTGAGAAAACAAAAAAGTTTGGGGAGAATCTTATCGCTAGTCAACAAAGTGTTAGCTCAAACGCACTATAAGCATCGAGAAACAAAGATGGAGCTTACCTTTGAAGGTTTCAAGGACCCGCGGATTTGATTCATGATCTTTTCACTATTTCGAGTGGAACGCTCTATTGTCTTCGTTGACAATGTTTAAATGTCTAAGTGCGTAGAATTCCCCAAAGCTGCGCAGTCAAGACGTGTTGAGCACAAAACCTCGAGAAATATCAAACGCTTACTTGGAGCTGAAAGACATAGCTTTGCTCGTCAAGCTCGATCTGGAAACACGGTGCCAAAGGGAAACAAAACGGTGCTTTCCAAGTTAGAGAGGTGTAGCTTTACAAGTCCATGACCATCAAACTGTACACTGCTTCATTCATGTCGCTAAACACTGCGGCTGCAAAATCGCCGAGCAAACCCAGGCAAATCCATATCTGCGGTACCTCTTACACGCATTCACAATGCGGCCAAACCTGTCACCTCCACCGCTGAGCACACCCATTTTGTGGCAGACTGGGCAGTGTCGGCGTCCAAGTGTGTCGTCAGTCCCAAAGGAGTGATTGTTATCTGTGATAACAAGAGTTTAGCGTATAACAAGTTTGCTTAAAACACTCACATATCCAGCGTCCAGAGAACCTCTGTCAAGCTCGGGGTCATCTTCTCCAGACTCTCGCTCCGAGACCTGTTTGTTTCAACAAAAGCCGCCAAATAGCGCAGTGAGACTTATGACTGAAAACACTCTAGAAGAAAAAAGTACCTCCAGCTGAAAGAGTTGCTTCTGTGGCGATGGTTGCTGCGTACCATTCTCGGGACCGGCTACTGTTTCAACTTCCACGGTTTTTGACGGAAAGTTTGCCTTCCTCGCTGCCCCCTGACATGGACCTCGTGAGAGTCACGTTGAGGAAAGCATTCAAAGAATTAAGCCCACATACCGCGGCGGAGGCAGCTAGTCCGATTTGAGCGAGTTGAACACCCATGCCTGGCTCTCTCCCTCGCATATAGCTCGCAATTCGCCTTTGCGTGGACACCGCTCGCCATTGGCTCCCAAGCCTTGAGTTGCCTTGACTTGTGACTTTGAAGCCCTGCGAGAAGGATACATTACTGTTTAGCAAACACGAACATGGAGATGGAGGAAAACACCTTGTTGTGCTCGACATCGGTTGGAATATCAATGTTGAAAAAGCATCCAGCGGGAAATTTTCCTTGCTGGATGTCTTGCAGCGCGGCATGTATAAGCGGGATCACAGCTCCGGCCGCCAGCCTAAAGTCCTCCTCTTTACATTTGCCTCTGACCCTGTGCCGTACAATCACGTAAGAGACGAGAAAAAGAAGACAAAGAAAACACGAGAACACGCAGGCATACCAATCGTATGATATAGAAAGAGAAGGAACTCCCCAAATGCAAGCCTCTCGAGCTGCTGCTACTGTTCCAGAGTAGATGCTGGCGACAGAAAAATTAAAAAAACTTTAGTCGAGAGAGAAAAAAAGAAAAAGAAAAAGAAAAAGAAAGATAGAAGACTCACATGTGCAATCCACAATTGGAGCCCTTGTTGATTCCACTAATAACCTGAGAAAAAAGAAAAAAGAAAAGAAAAGAACCATGGAAGTTGAACTAAGATGATGAAGATAGTAGAGTTTTATCATACCAAATCTGGCTTGGACCATGGAAAGAGGGCTCCAGATAAGCCCAGCGAGACGCAATCGACAGGAGTGCCTGAAAGAAAGAAAAAATATCCAAGAAGAAAGAAAAACTTGTAAAGCTTTCGAAAAGAAAGAAGCAAAGAGAAGGTAGTAACTTACCTCCGACTTCGTGCGAGGCAGAAGTTCCAGGGATTTCCACAGCCCCAACCTCGAGCACGCCTCGCGCAGTGATTCCATGCCCCGTGCCCGACTTGTCCCTGGACGATCGCTCGCTCGCTCGCTCAATCGATCGGAAAAAGAAAAGCGAAAGCACTTACGAGTCTGGAGCACACACATTGACATTGCATCGTCCACCGCGAACGAGCGCCTGGACGAGCGCTCCAAGCCCTGGCGCCGCGATCCCATCGTCGTTCGTGATGAGCACCCGCGGCCTCGCATCGGGAGTAGCCGCGTCTCCTCCATTCTCGGATGGAGTGCCGGGCAGCGCATCCTTGAGGCCCGCCACGAAATTGGGCATGGCGGAGCTCATCCAGGAGAGAACCAAGAACAAGAAAACCTAGAGCTTCTTTTTCTCGCCTTTTTCCCCTCTTTTAAGAAAACTCTCGGCCGGATGGATTATAGTCAACACACACACTGGCCTCATCACACAAGAATGTCCATAGCTAGTAGCGCTTGTACGTAGAAACGCTCGCGGCCAGGGGGCGTTCGTACGTAGACATCGGGCGTTCGTACGTAGACAAAGGGCGTTTGTACGTAGAAACGCCCGTGGTAAAGGCTACGGTGTCAAAATCAAGCTTCCCTGCCAGACACAATCACCCCACATGGTTGATTGGATTTTCTCTATCAGAGTTCCTCTTGTTCGTGTTGTTTGTGATATACCATGATGGCGAAACGTTGGATTTATAGTCCCATCCAATGCCATTCATTCTCTCTGCTCAGGAGGGGCGAGAGAGAGAGAATTGAGCGATGGAGCGAGCGAGCGAGCGACGATTGCTGCGATCATAAATTGGAGTGGAGATTCGAGTGTCGTTGTTGGGCTCTAAAACTCGCGGCTGTTTGGTAGCTTTCACTGTTTTAACGACAAAATAAACGCATTGCTCAGTATACCACAGTTTCTGTGCTTACCAAACTTTGCTACTTGTCAGCTCCAGCTCCAGCTCCACCAGACAGAACTTTGCTGCTCAAATTCGCGCAAGCCACGCACTGCAGGGAGAATTCCGTATGGAGCTACGTTAGAAAAACAAGAAAAAATTAAAAGAACTCCGGCTCTGTCATACCTTTCTTTCTAGGCTGGAGCAACATGTGGATATCTTCCCAAGGAGTTCCAAAATATGTACTCTCCAGATATTATCTGTACCCAAAGCCGGAGAAAGTGATAAGTTTTGGTCGATCACAGATAACGATTCGCACCTGGGAAGAAACTTCGCAAGGGACTTTAGCAGTGGGATATATCGCTACCTGGAAAGACAGCTCTTAGCACGGAAGATAAAATGGAAATGAAGGTAAGCTTGCCGTTTTAGTGTCGATAGACACTCCTGACATTGTCCCACCGACGAGTTTTAGAGACGCCTGTATTTAAAAAGAAATCGGTTAGAGAATATCTAACGAGCTCAGTTTTCATAAATACCTTGGCGTAGCTGTAGGCTTCCCAGCAAAACGGATCCTCCCACTTCGCAGCTACAAGATTCATGTCTGCCTTGTCCATCTTGTTCTCGTTGCCACAGTCAATCTCGTCGTCATCAGAGAATCCAACTGTGTCTCTCTGGTTCGTGTCCACGGCCCTGGGGGCAAACTTGACAGTTCCAGAGTACGTCACCTCCATGCTCTTCGAGATTGTGCTGCGATGCCCCGCAAGGATTTTCCATTCAATGGAGTGGTCCGTATTAGACACAGTCCCCATCGAAGGAGCTCCATCCAGCGCAGCTATTGTCCTCCTGTGGAACGGTATGCTCAAGGAGCACTGCTCCATGACTATCGGGCCCTTGTAGCCTTCCAAAAGCTTCATCCGGAACAAGAAAGCGCCCTCGTCGTCAGAAACCATGGAGAGCTGATAGAATCCTTGGAGAGGTGGCCGGAATGCTGGCGTTGCCATGTACTTGGCCAGCACAAAGTTCCCAAGAGGTGGCGAGAAAGTGATTGTCTGCTTATCCGGTCCATGATCGAGAGCTTGAGCACAAGGATGGAATGTTACTCCGTCGATCTCACCCGAGCTTGGACACGAGAGCTGGACGTTTACGTCTGGTAGACCTTCCAAGTCTGCTCGACACAGCAGCTGGCCCTTGAGCGTGATAACATCAGCAACGTCGTCCCTGTCGTACAAGGCAGCCGTGACCACCTCGTGAAGAGCGAACACGAGTTTCTGCTTGGACTTGAAAAGGTATGGCTTCCAAGCTGGTTGCTTCTGATCCTGTGGTGGTATATCTTGCGCAGAGAAGCCATTTGCCTTGATGGCGTTGATGGTTATGGGATTAAGATCAAGAGGAGTGCCTGGAAACCAAAGATGTTATAAAAGAAATAAAACGATGGAACTAACTTTCGCAAACTTACCGAAAGGCATGGCACTTGTGATGAAACCGAGCAACGCTTCCTTGTCCGAAGCTTTGAGGATTCCCTTGGTGGTGGTCGACCCGAGTATTCCCGCAGGAGCAGCGCCAGTAACACCAGCGGCTATCGCAGTGGCCGCCGCAGCCACAGGAGCAGCAACTGGTTTGGCTCGAGCAGTGATGCTCGCTATTCCAATGCCTCCGGTTATACTGTCCAGCAGTCCCCCCATCGTCGACGAAGGATTGATGTTGATCTCTGGCTCTAAAGCTTCTCCAACTATCAAGTCTCCCAAAGTTTGCGCGACACAAAAAGCTCTGGATCAGTAGCCAAGTCAGAAGTAAAGATTCATGGCAAAGAAAAACTTACCCCGTGATGGATGGAAGATCCAAAAGCAACGACGAAAGAGAATTATGCCCGTTCGCAACAGGCCCTCCACAGTCGGCTCGCCAGCAAAGATTTTCATACGTTGCCAGATGATGCGGTTCCACGGACGGAAGAACCAAAATGTGGAAAGGTCCTCGGATGTGAAACACGATCGGCCACAAGAGATATAACTCGCCACTTTCATCCGGTTTTGGGATCTGGAGGCTGATGATCGAGCGAGTGATCGGATCATCCACCCAAGAGTCGGAGCCAGGCTGGGAATAATCCTCACGAGTAGCAAGTCCTCGAAACGAGCCTTCTCTAAACCAACAAACAAACAATCAAAGTGCCAGATCGAGAAAGAAGAAAAATCTACCTCTCTTTCCTCTCTACAAACGATTGAATGAGCTGCGCATCGGAAGGTAGCGAGTAGCAGATGCCATCGCCGTGCTTCGATCGCGCATTCTTCCATTTCTTCTCCACGGTGGGGAAGCGCCTAAGCCAAGAACGGCGATGCCGGATCGGATCGATGGAGGATGAAACGAGAAAAATGCGATTACCTGGAGAAGACGACATGGCGGTGCTGGTTGAGAATCCAGAGCGCTCGAATGCTGCATCCCATCGAGCTCTTCCCTAAAACCCTAGAAATTTAAAACTTGGTATTTAAACAAATGTGAGTGGAGACTCGTCCTTGCTCTTGCTCAAAGACGAACCATTCTCGACACTCTCTTCTTCTTCCTCTGGATTTAATCCTTTCAAAAACGATCCTTTCTCGCAAATCCGAGCTGCTGCTTGCCTTCCAGACAGCGTCGCGCCTTCCATACTATCGATGTAATCCTGAAATCAAACGGCCATCGATCCATCACTGCTCAAGAAAAGAGAAAGACCAAAGAAAGAACAAGGAACAACTTACTTGTTTAGTGTAAGATCCAGCCAAGAAAAAATTGGAGATCGGGGTCGCCTGGTCGGGCCTGAAAGCGTCCATGCCCGGAGCTTCTCGGTACAGCGATTGTCCGATTTTCACCACGGAAGACCAAGTAACTTTTAGCTCCCGAGATGATGGGAACAAGTCAGTCACTTGCTCATGAACTTTGCTCACGATCTTGTCGTTCGAGAGCGGCATGTAAGGATCCGCTGGTGTCAAAACCATCCTGAAATGTTCACAAAACAATGAGCTCGGGATTGGAGGTGAATCGACTTACTGAAGAAGAGATCCTTCACCGGGCTTGTAGTAATCGACTGGCGAAGTTAGTGCAAGATCAGCAAAACATGAGAAGTCTGCGTCTGCCGAGTAGAGCAGATTGTCAAGTCCAGTCGCTTGGTTGAGTTGTCTGAAAGAAAGGAGTAAAGATTTACACAAACAGTATGAAGAAGACTTTCCAACCTTGAAAGCTCGATATCTCGCATTTCAGTCACCCAGCCATTAAATCGTAGTTGCACGGTGATCACTGGCACTCCTACGAGATTGTATATCTTGTCAAAAAACTCGTACTCCCGCCATTGTTCTGGCAAAAGCTTTTTGATTCCAGGAACATCACAAGCTGTGCACACAAGAAGATAAAGCCACTTCAAAAAGAAACTACGAGTTTGTGCTTCCCACCTGCGACGTAAGCATCAGCCTTGATAACTTCTCTTTCGCCTGCCTGAAACCGATAAAAATAAAACCTATGACTTCTCCTTCCGGAAGAAAAAAGAGGAGAGCAAGTCACCTTCGTCATCACGAGTCCAGTCACAAAGGTCTCGCCGTCCAGAGTGTAGTCGTGAAGAATTTCTCGACATCCCCATCGCAAGTGAAACCTGCAAGCTTGAATGAGTATTGCGTGAATCATCTAAAAGTTTCACATCTCGTTACCTTCCACCTCTACTCGTTATGTAGTCGCGGATGGGAGCGTGCAGCCGAAGATCCGGAGCCCCGTTCAACATTCTAAGAAGCGAGGCATTTGTTTTGGTAGCAAAAAGAGCAAAAATGGTGAGCATGCAGCGAGCGCTGATGTCGTCACAGTCGAGAAATCCCAGAGCGTAGGCAATTGGATCCCACATTCGAGTGATACTTTCTCGTGTTCCTCCGTGGGACATGAACCACTTTGAGAAGCTGACCTGATGACAATTATTAGCTGTAGACTTTTGTTGAAAATCTAGAACTCGACTACGTTACCTTGTCTAAGTTTCTGATAGTCCGCATTGCACCATCGGGATCAATGAGAGCTTGCACAACCGGACTTGTTGCAAGAGCAAAAGCGTTGGCCGTTTTGTCAAGAGCCTGGACAAAATGATAAAGTTTCAAATCCTTCGCCACAGACGAAATCAGATTTCCACTTACGTTGAGCTGATTTGTCGTGAGAAAAGCTTTGATTCCATGCAAAGGAGCGCCGACAGGAAATCGAAAATCCAGCTCTGAAAACAAATCGACGAGTGAGCTAGAGGCGACGAAATTACCGCACACACCTCCAGTTAAGCCTCCTTTGTTGATGAAGGTATGGATATGATCTTTGAGAAGAAGATTCTCATCCGCTCCAACCTGAAAAGATACTATCACTGCTTGTAAATCTTTAAAAAGCAAACCTTTGACATGAGACGATAGAGATTGCAATAGCAACCAAAAAAGACATGCAATCCCATCTCGATGTGGTTCCCGTTCTTGTCTTGGTATGATCCAACCTTTCCACCGATGAACGACCTGGTATCATAAATATCAACCTGACAAAACAAAAACAAAACTTGAGAGGATTTTCCAGACATGCTGACCGGTTTTACCTCGTGTCCTTGATCGAGGAGTTCAACAGCGGTGGACATTCCAGCTAGACCCGCACCAACAATTGCAACTTTGAGCTTGGGTCCAGTGTAGCTCTCAGGCTCGGGAGGGAAAAGGCCTTTTGGAGCTGCAGAGAAAAATCAAACACAAGATGAGCCACAAGAACGAGCACTAACTTGAGAAGTGGCTCACTATACCTCCTTTGCCCATATCAGAAACCATGGCTTCCAACGAGCATGAGACTCGCAATCTTCGCACCTTGGCCAATTTCCCATTTTGCAAGCAGCCCACAAACTCCTTATCCATTCTCTTGCTGCGCCTCCAGCATCTTTCGAAGGGAGCGCTCGGCGCAGCGGCTTGAAGAATGGCCATTTCCTCTTTTGCTACTACTCCACGCCTTACAGCCCAAGAGGCCTAGGACTTGGCCAGAATTTTCATCGCGCTCCTCTCAAGAGGACAAAGCCGCTGGATGTTCTGGAGCATAGCATCTGAATAAGGAATCAACACATAAAATAGTAAACAGTGCTTACCGGCCACTTTCAAGCATCACGCTTGAAAGTCCTTTCCACTAGTGGGCACTACTATGTTTCTTAAAACTTTTCTCCTATTCTTCGCGAAACTCAAGCACGGATCTTTGAATTGAAGGAAACACCGGAGACAAACGCGTGAGCTTCACAAAGAAGAACTAACGAGTCTACCTGAAACAATTGTATTGCTCGTGCGTGCTTTGCTGTGTGTCCTGATCACGAGAGAACTCTTCCTAACGCAGCAACAATCGCAGACCTCGCTCTCGAAAAAGCCGACCGGCTCGGAGCAGCAACACCAGCAGCAGCAAGAGGAACAACTTCCTCGACCGGACCCCGTTCTGCCTCGGTCGCCTGATCAGCCTCCAAAGTCACCACCAGTCCGTCGTGAGCCATCATCAGCGACGCAGCTCCCGAAGCCGATACACTCCTACACCTCTTGATCTTCACCTTGGTCAAGCTCGGACAGCCGCTGGCCAGCGCCTCCAGTCCTTGGTCCGAGATGGGACAGCACTTGATACACAGCTTGCGTAGAGCCTGGCACTTGCTTCCGATGCAAGCCAGCTCCCCGTCCCCAAAAGTCTCGCTGTTCCACACTGCGAGACGCTCCAGCCCCATGCAGTTCGTAAAAACAATTCCCAGACTGTTGGAGGTGACGGACACGCCGATGAGAACGAGCTCCTTGAGCTCCGGACATCTCTCGCCGACGGCAAGCAGCCCCTTGTCCCCGATTCTCCCCGTAAAGCAACCATCAACGTGAAGCTTGCGAAGCGACCGGCATCCGTTGGCTATGGCTGACAACCCCGTGTTGCTACACTCAGGAGTTCTGGCGAGGAAGAGCACCTGGAGCTTGCGGCATTTTGCGAGAGCTACCAGCCCTTGATCGCCGAGATGGAGCTTCTCGATCCTGAGCTCCGTCAGCTCGCTCAGCCCCTCCACGGACAGCTCCAAGAGCTTGTCCCACTGTCCGGTAGCCTTGAAGATGATCAGCGTGTGAAGATGCTTGGAGCTCGCGATGAGCGGCGTGAAAGCATGGCCGCCATCCAGGATGTTCTTGATGGACAGCCGCTTGAGCTTGCTCGGCCCCTCGACCAGCTGCCCCGGCTCGCCACCCATCCGGAGCCTCTTCACGGAGAGATCCTCGAGAGCCACGCAGTTCTTGATGATCGCGTTGAGCCCCCGCGAGCCGAATCCACACGAGCAGCACGAGAAGGATCGAAAGGATGCCCGGCACACCGCGGCGGCGAAGGCGACGAGCCCATCGTCTTGGAGCCCTGTACAGTTCTTGAGCTTGAGCTTGCTGAGGCGGCGGCAGTGCGTGGCGATGAGCACCAGCCCCTCGTCGGTGATGGAAGGGACGCCTCGCTCACACTTGAGACCCAGCTTGGAGAGCACTGGAAATCGCATAAGGCTGGATTCCAGGCACGACACCGGCAGCGACAGTGGCGCCGATAGCGAGAGGATCTTGCGAGAATTCGCCTCGGCGAGCAGCCAGCGGCGGCAGACGAGCGACGCGACGTTGCGGCCGCGCGTGTCGAGGCGATCGAAGACGAGCCCTAGGCATTCCTCGGGAAGAACAAGCGTGGGATCGGCAAGATCCACATTCTTCTCTTCTTCTGCCCATGGCGATGGTGATTCCTCGTTCCCTGGATTGATACTAGTACCTGGGATCTCGATCACACTCCCGCCGCCGGTAGGCGCGATCGATCTCTTGTTGAAAGACGAGGCGCTGCCCATAGCTCTAGAAACCCTGCTAGGGTTTTGATCTAAGAAGTAATAGGGCTACATCTTCCCGGGCATGGAGCGCGATGGTGATGGCGATGGCGGTGGCCGAGGCGCCCCACATTTCTTCCGGATCCATGGTGGCAGCTCCTTGAGAGGTACTCGAGCTCGATCTTATAGCGGGATTGTTGCTAAGCAAATCCTGGTTTGGCGTTGTGGATGATGTTAGTGAGTGTGGCTAAGCGGTGGTGTTGGCTATGGCGGTGGCATTCCTCCAGCACTCCAATTCCATCGCATTGCGCCTCTCGTCGGCGAGCACAGCGTCGCTGGGATCATCGCCGTCGTCTCGAAAGCCAGCGTTTCTCGGTGGATTGAGGTTTGAGTCTTCGAGCTCCTTGCAACCCCATGCGATATCTTCTTCGTCTTCGTCTTCTACTTCTTCCATCTCCGCTGGGGACGAGGCGCTAGAGGCTCACGTCCGCAATGGCGATTCGTCGGAGGAGGTGGTGGCAGTGCCCGAGGAATCGTCCGAGAGTGAGCCGGAGGAAGAGCCATCGATCTCCAGCGAAGATGTCCGAGTTGTCCAAGAGATCGGTGCTGCTAGCAGAGCTCCCGTGGTGCCTGGAAGGATTCATGGGAGGCTCAAGATCAACCTCGATCTCTTGCTCTACAAAGCAAAGCTCGCGCAGAGGACGAAGAAAAAATTCATGGCGGACGCCATTCTACGAGAGGTAAAGATCTTCTTTTCTTCTTTCGCTGCCACTCACGAGTAGTTTTACGTGTTTTAGTGTATCAGAGACTGGGCGGATGATGGTCGAGCATACGTCGCTTTGGGAACTTCCCTCGTGAAGTCGGGCAAAATCAAGGAAGCCAGGAAACTCTACGAAGATGGTTGCCAAGCTTGCCGAGGTGAAAATCCATATATCTGGCAGGTATACATACAAAACTTCTTCTGTTTTTTTTTCTACACAGTTGTATAAGTCTTCTTTGTAAGGCTTTGGCGGTGCTAGAAGAGCGAAGCGGCAATGTTTCCAGAGCAAGGACTCTTTTCGACGCGGCCACCGTCGCAGATAAGAAGCATGCCGCAGCTTGGCATGGCTGGGCCGTGTTGGAACTTCGAAACGGAAGCATGAGAAAAGCTCGAGCTTTGCTCTTGAAAGGGCTCAAGTTTTGTGGTCCAAACGAGTATCTCTACCAGACTCTAGCAATCATCGAGGTCAGAATGGGCGAGATCGAGCAAGCTAGGACGTACTTTACAAAAGCCACTCAAGCAAACTCCAAGAGCGCAGCAAGCTGGCTGGTGCGTGGGAGCGTTTCATTCTCATTTTGGTTTTCTCTGACTCGTTTCCTTTTCCAACAGGCCTGGGCACTAATGGAAGCTGAATATGGAATCAAGGCTTCTGTCAGGCAATTATTCCAGGTTCGTCATTTCTTTTTTCTTTCTCGCAGGTTTCCTGATGCGAAGTTTTGTTTTTGTGAACTGGCAGAGAGGTCTCCAAGCAGTTCCTCGAAATGGACACATATGGCAAGCCTGGGCTCGCTTCGAGGCCAAGGACGGAAACAAAGGCCGCGCTCGTCACCTCTTTCAGAGGGGAATGGAGCTCAATCCCAAAGACGTGGTGCTTCTTCAAGCCTTCGCTCTTTTCGAGTACGACTGTGGGCAGCCAGACATTGCGCGGAGGCATTTTAGGCGTGCTGTGCTGATCGATGCAAAGCACCAACCGTTGTGGCTGGTACGTTGGACAGTGTACGCTTTCATCGTCTCGTTCTTACCTCTTTTTATTTGCTTCTCCTGTGCGAGTAGGCTTGGGGATGGGTGGAGTGGAAAGAAGGAAACCTCGACTCCGCGCGTGATTACTATCAAAAATCACTAGCGGTGAGCAACAGGAACCTGAACGCTGTGAAAACGTACCAGGTAAGATGATCGACCACTTTTTCGTTTGGCAAGAAGTTAAAACTTTGCTCTTTCTTTCTCACAGGCATGGGGTGTTTTGGAAGGCAAAGACGAGAACTATGGTGCCGCAAGAGCTTTGTTCCGGAGCGCACTGCGCCTGGATTCGCAAAACATGCCCGCGTGGCTTTCGTGGGCCGCGATGGAGGAGCGCTGCGGGAACGCCGTTCGAGCCGAGGAGCTGAGAACTCAATGCCTCCAACAGGTACTTCTGGAAAACAAAACTCTCTTTTCTTCTCATTGATACGTCCAAATCGTTTTGCAGAGAACCGAAGTCGTGGAAGAAGCGCCGTGGGACGTCAACATATCCGAGTTTTTGGCTCCTACGATCGAGGGTCTAGCCGGGATTTTGGATCCAGCAGAGAAGCGAAGGACAAATCCTCCAGACATCGCCCAGGAATTGGGCAGCGCAGACAAAGATTTCGACATCGATGGATTCTTGGCGGAGAAATTCCCCTGGAAGTACAAGCCGCCGCAGCAGCAACGATCGCCCATCGCGCCCAAAAACTTGACAAATAAGCCCTAATGGGGCCGCGCCCAAATGTAAACCCCTAACACCCAGAGTTACTATACGACAATTCAATCTTATTATCATGAGCCATCCCACGACTTATCGGACGAGCCACCGCCACCGCCACCTCCGCCCAGCGATTCCAGCTCTTCCTCCTCTTCTCCATCTCCGCCATCGCCCCGCCCATTCTCCTCCTCCTCTTGCTCCTCTCCCGCCTCGTGCTGCTGTTGCTGCTGCTGCTGCTGCTGGCTCAGGCTCTCCACCAAGCTCGCGGCGGCGCCACCCAAAAAATCGCGCGTCAGCGCCCCCTGCGCTTGATCGCATCCCTCCTCGGTCTTTGGAACCAATGCCGCCACCAGCATGGATTGATGATCCTGCTGTTGTTGCTGCTCTTGATCCTGGTGGAACATCCGGAATCCTCCGGAGCTATTACCGCCGAGACCCACGTCCGTGAACATCGGTGGATAGCAGTTGAACATCCCGCCATAGCCTCCAAACTCTCCATGCATGGCAGCGCCGCCACCCTGTTCTTGCGCCGCCGCTAGAGCTCCTCCCCTTCCTCCGCCACCAAACTGGTGGTGCAATGCAGCGGCGCTAACGTTCCTGGATGCGCCTCCTCCTCCGCTTTGCTGCTGCTGCTGCTGCTGCCAGAAGCTGCCCAATCCAAACGAGCTCGAGTCCAATCCAAATCCCCGCAGCAGCGAGTTGTTCCCGGCGGTAGCTCCCATCTGCGCCGCCTTCTGGAGCAATGCCGTGGCGGACATCTGCGGAGGAACTTGCTGCTGCTGCTGCTGCTGCTGCTGCTGCGCTTGATTCCCCAAGAACGAGGCACCACCGCCATTGCTGGAAGAATTCGCGGCCATGGAGTCCAAGCTCCGGTTGCTAATGCCCATCAAGTCGGAGAAGGAGCCCGAGCCTCCAAACGCCCCGCCAGCCATCGGGAAGAACCCGCCGCCACCGCCACCGCCACCACCACGATCCAGCTCGAATTGCGAGCTCGATAGCAACTTGGGCGGCAGGAGGAAGTGCGAGGGATCCAGGCCCAAGCTGCCCATCTCCGGATCGCCGCCGGCTTGCATTTGCTGGATCATGGACGTGGATGGCTGCCCTGGTCCTCCTCCCGGCCCGGGACCCAGCCAGAGAGAGAGCCTTGGAAGGCATGACGATCCCGCCCTGGAAGAAGAGAAATCGTCGAAGCCGCCGCTAGAGGAGAGGTCGCCTCCTGGCAATCGCGGAGGGGTACCGGTGAGCGATGGATCCACCACGGGCGGCAGCCGGACTGTGTAGGGCGAGGTCGGGACGGCGCCGGGCGGCAGGGAATCGGTGGAGGCGTCGGGCTGGGCGGAATTGGGATTGAGCTGCGCCGCCGCCGCTGCCGTGCCGGGCTTGATCCTGGCGCTCTCCTCCGCCAGCGCGTCGCAGAAGGCGCGGTGTGTGATGAAGCTGTCCCTCCTGCAGCAGCGCACACGCATGTGTCATATCGATCCATGGAAACGAATTCGCGAGGGATCGATGAGCATGCAATCAAGAAACGCGAGATTCCGAGCAAGAACGAGGGAATGGCGATGATCGACCGGGAAAGACCGGTGAATCGAGCGCCAGGGATCGATATTTCGAGGAGAAAGCTCAAGAAACGCAAGAAAGATCCATGGAGCGAGAGATATCGAGAGAGAATGGAAGAAAGATCCGACGAGCAAGAAAGATCGCTGGAACGAGGAAGAAGACGAGATTATCGAAGAGAGAATGGGAGAAAGATCGCTAGAACGAGGAGGAAGACGAGGAAGACGAGGAGGAACGCGAGATTATCGACCAAGAATGGAAGAAAGATCGCTAGAACGAGCAGCAAGACGAGATTATCGAAGAAAGATCGCTAGAACGCGAGGAAGAAGTAGAAAGAAATGGATTGGATCGCGAGGGAGTACCTGGAGAAGAGCGTGCCGCAGTCGCATCGATACTCCCGGGTGCCGCACGTCTTGGAATGCGCCTTCCAATCCGACTGGACGGCGTAGCGCTTGTTGCACTTGTCGCACTTCCACTTCTTCTCGCCGTGCTTGCGGCAGAAGTGCTTCTTGATGCCGGTGAGGTCGCCGAGCGCGCGCGAGGGATCGTGGTGGACGCACGACGCCTCGGGGCACACGTAGACGCGCTTGCGCGGCTCCTTGCTCGTCCGCTGGCGGAGCTTCCAGGGCAGATTGTGGCCGCGGCGGTGGAGCTGGAGGTTTTGGTCGCGCTGGAAACCCTTGCCACAGATCTCACACACGAATCTGTTGGTCGCCATTAACGTCTTTGGGGACAGCGCGATAACTTCCGCATCCGGGTCTGCAATTACCACGCCACGAATTTAATGCCGCACCGGAAGATCGATCGTTCCATTCCATCCATGATCCATCCAAGAACACACGAAGAACAAGAACACCAAATATTTCCAAGAACACCCCACACAATGGCCAGCCAAAATAAAACATTCCAGAGAGGGATGGATGGATCTACCTGGAGTTCCGGGGAGATTGCGCTTCTTCTTGGCGGGAGGCTGGCCAGCGGCGCCGGCATTCGATGCTGCTGCAGCTCCGCCGCCGCCGCCTGCGAGTGGCTGTGGCTGATGAGCTCCGCCGCC